GTATTCGGCGCATAGACATTTATAATTGTTAGCTCTTCCTGATGGATAGACCCTGTCACTATTATATAATGTCCTTCTTCATCTCTTGTTACAGCCTTTAATTTAAAGTCTAGTTTGTCTGATATAAGTATGGCTACTCCAGGTTTCTTTTGGCTTCCAGTAGCATGATAAATAGTTCTCCATCCCCTCACTCTCAATCTAAAGGTGTCCTCAGGTCTAAAATGAGTCTCTTTTAGACAGCAAATAGATGGGTCTTGTTTTTTTATCCATTCTGATACCCTATGTCTTTTGGTTGGCGCATTTAATCCATTTACATTCAGTGTTATTATAGAAAGATATGGGTTTAGAGTCATTGTGATGTCTGTATGTTTTATGCTTGTAGTGATGTCTCTGATACTTTGTCTCACAGGGTCCCCCTTAGGATCTCTTGTAGGGCTGGTTTAGTGGTGACAAATTCCTTCAGTTTTTGTTTGTTTGGGAAGACCTTTATCTCTCCTTCTATTCTAAATGACAGGCTTGCTGGATAAAGGATTCTCGGCTGCATATTTTTTCTGTCTAGCACACTGAAAATCTCGTGCCAACTCTTTCTGGCCTGCCAAGTTTCAAAAGAGAGATCAGTCACGAGTCTTATAGGTCTCCCTTTATATGTGAGGGCACGTTTACCCCTTGCTGCTTTCAGAATTTTCTCTTTATCCTTGTATTTTGCCAGTTTCACTATGATATGTCGTGCAGAAGATTGATTCAAGTTACGTCTGAAGGGAGTTCTCTGTGCCTCTTGGATTTCAATGCCTTTTTCCTTCCCCAGTTCAGGGAAGTTCTCAGCTATTATTTCTTCAAGTACCCCTTCAGCACCTTTCCCTCTCTCTTCCTCCTCTGGGATACCAATTATGCGTATATTATTTCTTTTTAGTGTATCACTTAGTTCTCTAATTTTCCCCTCATACTCCTGGATTTTTTTTATCTCTCTTTTTCTCAGCTTCCTCTTTTTCCATAACTTTATCTTCTAGTTCACCTATTCTCTCCTCTGCCTCTTCAATCCGAGCCGTGGTGGTTTCCATTTTGTTATGCATTTCGTTTAAAGCGTTTTTCAGCTCTTCGTGACTGTTCCTTAGTCCCTTGATCTCTGTAGCAAGAGATTCTCTGCTGTCAGCTATACTGTTTTCAAGCCCAGCGATTAATTTTATGACTATTATTCTAAATTCACTTTCTGTTATATTATTTAAATCCTTTTTGATCAGCTCATTAGCTGTTGTTATTTCCTGGAGATTCTTCTGAGGGGAATTCTTCCGCTTGGTCATTTTGGATAGTCCCTGGCGTGGTGAGGACCTGCAGGGCACTTCCCCTGTGCTGTGGTGTATAACTGGAGTTGGTGGGCGGAGCCGCAGTCAGACCTGATGTCTGCCCCCAGCCCACCGCTGGGGCCACAGTCAGACTGGTGCATGCCTTCTCTTCCCCTCTCCTAGGGGCGGGATTCACTGTGGGGTGGGGTGGCCTGTCTGGGCTACTTGCACACTGCCAGGCTTGTGATGCTGGGGATCTGGCGTCTTAGCTGGGGTGGGTAGGCAAGGTACACAGGGGCAGGAGGGGCAGGCTTAGCTTGCTTCTCCTTAGGTGATCCACTTCAGGAGGGGCCCTGTGGCAGCAGGAGGGAGTCAGATCCGCTGCCGGAGGTTTGGCTCCGCAGAAGCGCAGAGTTGGGTGTTTGCGCGGAGCGAGCAAGTTCCCTGGCAGGAACTGGTTCTCTTTGGGATTTTGGCTGGGGGATGGGCGGGGAAGATGGCGCTGGCGAGCGCCTTTGTTCCCCACCAAACTGAGCTCTGTCGTCCGGGGGCTCAGCAGCTTTCCTTCCCTTTGTCCTCCAGCCTTCCCGCTTTCTGAGCAGAGCTGTTAACTTATGACCTCCCAGCCGTTAAGTCGCGCTTGCTGTCGGAACACAGTCCGTCAGGCCCCTCCGCTTTTTGCAAGCCAGACTTCTACCAAACTTTAAAAAATTAATACCAATTCTTCTCTAACTCTTGCAGAAAATTGAAGAGGAGGAAACACTTCCAGGCTCAGTTCATGAGGCCAGTAATACCCTGATACCCAAGCCACATAAGAATGCTAAATGAAAAAGAAAACCAAAGACAGTATCCCTGATGAATACAGATGCAAAAATTCTCAAAAAATTTTAACAATCCAAATTTTTTTTTTAATTTTTTTTTGTTTGTTTTTCAACGTTTATTTATTTTTGGGACAGAGAGAGACAGAGCATGAACGGGGGAGGGGCAGAGAGAGAGAGGGAGACACAGAATCGGAAACAGGCTCCAGGCTCTGAGCCATCAGCCCAGAGCCTGACGTGGGGCTCGAACTCCCGGACCGCGAGATCGTGACCTGGCTGAAGTCGGACGCTTAACCGACTGTGCCACCCAGGCGCCCCTTAACAATCCAAATTTAATAGTACATTTAAAGGCTTTTATGCCATGATAAAATGGGATTTATCCAAGGAATGAAAGGATGGTTCAACATTATCAAACTAATTAATGTGATACACCTCATTGATAGAATGAAAGATAAAAATCATGTAATCATTTCAGTAGGTGCAGAAAAACCATTTTGACAAAATACAAAATCCTTTCATGAATAGAATTCTCAGAAAAGTGGGTTTAGAAGGAACATATCTCAACATAAAAAAGGCCATCATATGACAAACCCACAGCTGATGTCATACTCAATGGTAAATGGGTTTGAAATGAAAGTTTTTCCTCTAAGATGAGAAACAAGACAAGAATCCTCATTTTCACCACTCCTGTCCAACATAGTACTGGAAGTCCTAGCCAGAGCAGTCAGGTGAGAAAAGGAAACAGAAGGCATCTAAATCAGAAAGGAAGAAGTAAAATTGTGTTTGTTTGCAGATGATTTGATATATGTAGAAAATCCTAAAGACTCCACCAAAAACCTGCTGAAACTAATCAGCAAATTCAGTAAAATTGCAGGATATAAAATTAACACACAGAATTTAGTTGTGTTTCTTACTCTCTAACAATGAAATATTTGAAAAAGAAATACAGGCAACAGTGCTATTCAAAATAGGATTGAAAACAAGCAGATGGTTAGGAATAAATTTAACCAAGGAGGTGAAATATCTGTATACTGAAAACTATAAAATGAATTACTGTAGTCTAGTTGCTGATGGCCTTGTGTGGTATAGATTTATTTTTGGTAGTGATGTGGGCCAAAGAGTATATATAAAAGAATTGAGACCATTTGTGTTGTATTTGAAGGGTTTCATACATCAGGGAAAAATAACGAAACACTGATTGCAAAACTTCATTTTTTTTAAAACAATACATCTTTTTGTACCTTAGGAATTGAAATCAAATTATGGCAAATATCAAAATGGAAACTATTTAGAAAGAATAAAAAGAGAAATATTTATGGAAACTTCCAAATTGGTTCATTCTGGTGAATGTAAATGTTTGTCAGAGTCCGAGAATTGTTTCTCTAGCTCAGAGCTGGGTAATGTATAAGTTGTTGGTTAGGGGATAGTTTTGTAGATACATGCCAAGCTTTGTATATAAGTCTATATCCTGAGAGTGATTAGGTGGAATATTTCCAATCTGTAACTTAAAATAATCTTTTTGGTTGTTGCTTAAGATCACAGTTTTCACCTGAAGATAGACTCTGAGTGCAAATGACAATGAAATTCCTATCTAATGTGTATAGTTTGTGCAATTTTGCATTCTTAATATGCAAAGTGGTTGCTACATTAAGAGTTCTACTGTATTGTTGATTTCCATGCTGAAATCTGGCTGCTATTTTAGTATATATGTGATGTTAATCAGAAATTGCTTTTTCTAATGGGAAATCTTTTCTCTTTTACAGGGTATCTTTCCTGTAAATTATATTCACTTGAAAAAGGCAATTGTCAGTAATAGGGGGTGAGTAGTTGGCCTTACTAAATTTATTCATAATTTTTATAGATTGTGGATGAAGGCTTTTTTCATTTTGGTTTGTAGTATAAAATATGCTATTAACATGTTTTCCTGCCAAAAATAAGTTTGCTTTATCATATATAATATAATATATAATTCTGAGAATATAACTATTTCTTAAAATACTGACAACTTTAATATCTTTTCTTCTATACCTGAAAGGTAACCTGGGTTGTGAATTTTCTAAAAACATAATGCATTCAGTATGTTTTTAATAATTTATTTATTACTTTGAGAATAGGTTCTGATAGGATAACAAGTACAATCTCTGAATAGAAGAGAGCAAGATGTAAATACATCAAAGTGTTAACATTTGTTGTTTTTGCACATTCACATTGTGAGTGACTTTTAGAAATTCTTTACTGTCATGCTCTAATTTTAAAAGTAATAAATATGTGTTATTATAAAATTGTGATTTTATTTTCCAGAATTTATCATTTTAAAATATAAAATTTAAGGTACTATATAAGTGTGATAGCTTTTGGTACTAGAAATAGTGTTTTTGAACAGAGGTTGAGTAAGCATCAGAGTTTAGTTAGGGCTTAATCAGGAAACAAGAACTTATGAGTCGCTTTACAAGGTAGAATTTAATATGGGTTATTGTTTACATACATGTTTGAAAATGAAAAAAAAGAGGAAAGACTGATGTAACCAAAAATAATAACTACAGAAAGAAGTCTATACTCTGTAGGCTGGGGATACAAAACATAATGGGCTGGGGATACTAGAACTCAGGATCTGAGAAGATGGGCCTTGAGATACCGGAGCTCAAACATCTGAGGAGTAAGAACATCACATGGCTGTTGCTGGTATATATGAAGAAGGGCAGTGAGGCTGTTTCTGGGAATGCCAATAACAACTGGAGGCTGGGACCTATTTTCTCTGGTTAGGAACTGTGTATAGGAACAGCAAGAAACACTTCTTCTTATCTCCTTTTCCCCAGTATCTTTCAGGTGCCCCCAGTGGACAGAGGAGCTTGTGAGGCAAAGTTGGCAAATCCCAGCCTCAGAGTCAATGCCTAGAAGGGTGGATTTAGAGATGAGAGGTATTATTAGGTGACTGGTATGCATTCTAAGATAAAATTTGTTATTGAGGAATAGTAAGCCTGTAAGAAGATTCTGATATGAATGCATGATCAGCATACCTTTTTTTATTCTCCTTCTTCTTTTATAAAATATCAAAGACAAACGGATATAGAGAAAGGAAACTTGAAAATCCTCTTTTAGTGAACGTTTGCAACAAATAGTCTATCTCAAATTTATAGGAAAGGATTGCCAAAATCATCAAGACTGTATAGAAGTTGTGTGGAAAAAGGAAGAGAGAGTGTCTAGACCTGGACCAGGAAGGCATATATTTCTGAAAGTACTAATAATGTGAATAATAATTTCTGAATGTGAATAGCTCACCTCAAAATGCAAAATATAATGCAAAAATACAAAATTCAAAAATAATGCCCCTGATTTATAACACTTAGTTCAGTAATAAGACTGATAAGAGCTGAAATTGACAGAAACTGCATGGAAGTGAGATGAGACAAGGAGATAGAATGTTTAGGGATCTAGAAATAGAGTACCTCAGAAAATGCTAGCAAAATAATACACTTCCTGATTGATAACCAGGGACTCATCTTAAATCCAAGAGCAATGTTCCCTGTTTATAATAGTTGTAAAGGAAATTAAGGACCACTTTGTTAGCAGAAAAATCTCTACCTCGATTCAGTTTGTTTCTGGAAGGCAAAGGAGATATGGCTTAAATAATTATACAGAGCAGCCATATTTGTTTTTCTTTTTTTTTTAATGTGTAAGAGAATTGGTTTGATTTCTTTTTTTCAAATTTTTTATTATGAAATTTATTGTCAAATTGGTTTCCATACAACACCCAGTGCTCATCCCAACAGGTGCCCTCAGTACCCATCACCCACCCACCCCTTCCTCCCACCCCCCATAAACCCTCAGTTTGTTCTCAGTTTTTAGGAGTCAGAGCAGCCATATTTGTTGGAAGCACACTTTCTCTAAGGAAGCAGAGAAATCGTTTTTTTGATGTAACTTTTAGAAAGCTACGTAGAATCAATTCAGTAGGCAAACCTCCCACAGTTTGGTGGTCCTAAATAATATTTCTGAAATCTGAAGAAAGTATTAAAAAATTGTCTTTAGGTACTGAAATGCAATCAATGTAGGGAGGATCTTTTTTCCCCCAAGTTTTTATTTAAATTCCAGTTAGTTAACATATAGTGTAGTATTAGTTGCAGGTGTAGAATGTAGTGATTCATCACAAGTGCCCTCCTTAATCCCCGTCACCTATTTGACCCCTCCCCGCATCCACCTCCCCTCAGGTAACCATCAGTTAATTCTCTATAGTTAAGTGTCTGTTTCTTGGTCTCTCTCTTTCTGTCGGTCTCTCTCTTTCTCTCTTTAAAATTTTGGAGGATCTTGGGGAATTTTGATCCTTGAAGGAAGGGATTCATACAGGAAGAGTTCATGTTTATTTTGGCTTTTTTTCCACAGAGAATTTTTCAGTTTGCTGTCAACTGGTGGAGCAGATTCCAAACAGAAAGTGGTAGTCTTTCAGGGATGAGGAAACAGGCTGGAGTTTCGAACTCTCAGGGAGATTGGAAAGTAAGAGGTTAAAACCTGGAGAGAAGAGAACCTCAGAGAATTAGGGTCTTAATCTGTTTGCAAATTCCTCTTAAGTACTTGAGTTAGTTCTAGCTTCTTTTGAGCTATGTAAGAGTTGAGGAATCTTAGAGAGTACAGCTAGCAAACTGAATAGACTTCACCAGCCACTTAATATTGGTGAAAAAAATATTAGAGTTCAAGGACTGGCAAGTTATAGGGGCCTTGGGAAAGTATTTTGGACTTTTTGTTGAGATTGCTAAAGGAACATACCCTGTAAATAAGGGCTATGCCCTTGGATAAAGGACCAAACTAAAGATATATAGGGCAAAAGTGAGATAGTCTAGCCATAACAAAGCGTAAACATCTGAAAACAAGGGATGTTAGAAGAATACTGTCATTCAGAAATAGCCAGTATAATATGTTAATGTGATTTCCCATTTTTTTAATACATGGTATTTTTACTCTGTTCCCTGTTATGAGTTAATTCTCCTTTATCATTTTTTCTCCCCCACTCTTATAAATATTACATTGATGATATATCTCTTTTTGGTATCCTTTTTCTTCCTTAATTTCTATGGATATTCTTGTTCCATTCTTCCTCTTGGGCCTCCCTTCATCATTCTTCTCTGACTCCTATTCAAAGCCCTTAATCCATGAGCTTTATCTCTACTCTAATCCTTTATGTGCAAAATGTGCCTTTTTTGTTCAGGTAGAGTAAGGTAGACAGTTTCACTACAGTGTGTGAAGGTGACGTCAGTAAAAGGAGATGAGTCCAGAGTGGCAGCAAAGGAATAAATATTGTAGGGCCTTGTAGGCTATGTCAGGGGTGTTATCTTTTATTGAATGATCCTGGAAGTCACTAAAAACTTTCAGAAAGAGAAGGGACATATTTTTAATTTTAAAAGTGTTATTCTGGGCTGCTTTGTTGAAACTAGAACTATAGTGGGGAAAGGTCAGAAGCAAGGAGACTTGGTAGAATACTATAGAGGTCCATGGAAGACAGAATGATAGCTTGGATTCACATGTTCCCTGGTGTGATGAGAAGTGGTAAGGTGCCATATATTTTGAAGTTAGAGCTGACAGTATTTGTTGAGCATGTAGAGTAGACAAAAAAGGAATTGAAGATGACTTCAGGGTTTTTTGTCTTAATAACTCTGGAGATGTGGTTGCCATTCACAGAAAAGTGGAAGCTTGGGAAGGGATATATTTTGGGGAGGAAATCAAAGGATTCAATTTTGGACATGTTAAGTTTAAAATGACTCTTAGACTCAAGTGGAGATATTAGGTAAGCAGTTGACCATGAATGTGGAGTTCTGAGGAGTTTGGCGCTTCAAACATAGATTTGGAAGTCATCAGCATTCAAATGGTATTTAAAACTACGGGGCTGGATGAGAACAGTAAAGGAATTTCTGTAGATGGAGAAGTGAGGCGAAGACAGAATACTGGGGAACTGTAATGTTTAAAGATAAAGTGAAGAAGAGAATCAGAAGAATCTAAAAAGTTGTGGCCAGTGAGGCACGTAGAGAAATGAAACATTAGTGTCTTGGAGACCAAGCAAAGAAAGTATTTAGAGGATGGACTAATCAAATATGTCTGGTGTTGTTGAGTAAGATTGAAGATCTAGTTAGGAGCGGTTGGGGTAGACTAGTAAGAATGAAAACCCAATAAGAAGAAATTTTAGAGAGAATGAAAGAAGAGGAAGTAGAATACAGGAAAGACTCACGGGCCAAAGACTTAAGACTCTTATAATCATAACTGAAGGGCAGATGGCAACATAATTTGGTTTTGGGATAAATTCTTCTATGTAATCCTTTTTTAAAAATCATCAGACTCTTCTTACCTAATTTTTTATTTTGAAAAATTTCAAATCTATACACAGATTACAAGAATAATATAAATAACACCTATATCCTTTCCCCTGAATTTAGTAGTTACGAGCATTTTGCCATATTAAGCTCATGTTCTCTTCCCAGCCTTGCTTTTAACATGAGAGTAAGTTTTAGACATTCTAATACTTTACTGTTACATATTTGAGTATGTGTCTTCTAAGAAAAAGGACATTCTTTAACATGATCACAATATAATTATTACACTCAAGAAATTTACCATTGATACTAGTACTATAATATATCTAGTTCATATTCAAATATCCCTAATTTTCCCAAGAATGTCCTTTTTATAGCTGTTTTTGTTTGATTGCTTTTTTTGGTGGGGGTATGGTCTAGGAGTCAAAAAATTAAGTATTTTCAGGCTTTCAGTTATGAGATAAATAAGTCATGGGGGGGAAAGGTACAGCATAAAGAATATAGTCAATGCTTTTGTAATAGTGTT